TGATAAAACATGATGCGACATTATTTTCCGGACAACCTAACACATTTCATAAAGCTCCATTCATTCAAAGTCTCAAAGCACTTCACTTCAAAGCTGCAGCATTCTTAAAATGTGTGCAGCCGAGTATTTTTCTCCGTTAATGTGTGCGATTGCACATTCTCCAGGTTGGTGCTAATCTGGAGGACCCACATAGTGTTTCATTCTCTTCGACTAGTTCATTGCGCAATTGCACATATTAGTAGAATAACTGTCGCCGCCGAAGCAGATCAGGCTATCACAGTATGAACAATTAGCCTATCGTATACGCTTCTTATTATGCTTTGATTATGATAGTATGCTGCATCTAACACTTTTATAACTATTTAAAATCATTATTATAGACTCCTAGTTTAAAAAGGGGTGAGAACGAAAGTGAATAATGTGCTTAGTAAATATATCAAAACACTTGCCTGAAAGTGAATTGTCGTATAATGCTGTATTCTCTATTGAAGCCGGAACCTTCTAGTGGAGCAGGCGCTCGTACCACTGTTGGCTGAATGAAAATTTTCCTTGAGATAGTAACAGATATAGATAATACAACGTGCAAACAAGTCAGCTTGTGCAATGAAAGTATGAATAGTGAAATAAGTATAGTCTCTTCCAAGCAATTGAAGTAATTGATATAGCTAGCTGGCAAAGTAGCTTCCGCTTGTTCGAATTTCTCATTCTGCCAGAGACGATTCAAGAATTTTCTTTTTGGGATAGAGATTTTTTCGAATGAGGATCACAACGTTAGCCGCGCCTTCCGTATTTTCGGATGTTCCCAAGTTTTCGCCTCATGCTTTACAAAAGCGACTTAGTTTCCTTTTGGTTGACTTAGCTAATAAATTAAGGCTCCAAGCAATTCTAGCTAATGATGGCTGAACAGAGGAGAAAGAGGACGGAAGAGTGAAAGACAAACATGTAGCTTGTGATATCTACAGTGCAATGCGGATCGAATGTGATGTCTGGATGGGTCTGGTACTGATGGTTATGTCTTATGGTGAGTAGATATAAGTTCAGAAAACTGCGGAAAATACGTGGGAAGCAGAATTTTATGGCTGTGTTTTCGTTGCCATTTTAGATGGCGAATAAGCGGTTCTGTCTTTAGCTTGCCAAACACCATTCAAAGTGGAAGATGTTTGTTGAGCTCTTGTTCTTGAATGTTTCATGTGCGCATAAACTTACCAAGTTTGTTTCCATATAATCCATTACTTGCTGTAAATAAGCAGCTTTCATTTCATACGATAAAAACTAGATTTGCGCTATTGCGCAAGATCGTTCTGAGCATAGCAACTTGATCAAAGTTAGGTCTTTGCACATACTCACGTATGAACGGGTTTAAGCGGTATCACTTCTGCTTTAACTCATTGAAACAAATCCAGCTTGCTCATGAGCACGTGCGCAAACCAAGAAAGCGCCAATCACCTAGTTTTCCATCGGAAAGTGCAGAAGATATGTAATAAACAAAGCCGACAATACATGTCAGTCATTATTTTTACAAGCATATCGTTTGTAAAAAAGAATGAATAAATGTCATTTCAACTAGAACCAGGTTTTGTAACGCAACGCAACAAAAGTCATGCGCAGCGGCGATGCCTTTGAGAACTTTTCCCCACAGACTAAACCTATAAAGAAATACGCTCGGTTTCGTACGTAAAAAGATTCTTACTTGAATGTTGTCAAAAAGCTGCAATTCACTATCTTCTTCGTCATTCACCGACTCAACCAGTGCCCAGCCAGTCTGGTTGAAGAGAATGAGATCTAATGGATCTCCGTGCAACTCTCCATTGATTCTGGAAAAAATATGATAATTCCATTTTACTCTAAATTCTACATACTTTGTAAGGGAATGACATGTTGCTATTGCTGTGATAAGTTCTCCATCACTTGGCAAATCTGCGGGGTCCATTTCTGCTTTCTCCTGAAAATTATTTGCATCTGAGCGGTAGACTTTCATAAACTGGCGAATGATTTCTGTCGCATCATTCTGTGAAATTCCGAAAACTTTCAGAAATTCTCATCCTAGTTTCACACCTAACGGCTAATGCGCATGATAGGGTCTATCATCATTGCGATCGACTCTGCAAATGCACAAAAGTCAGCAAGCTTACGAAAGTTTTGCGAGTAGAAAATGAAAAAACTTATGGATTTTCTTATTTGCGACTTTCGTAGACTTGGAACGCTTAGGAGTAATTCTGAATTTTTCTCAGCAAGGCATTCCCTATCAGAACGCAAGTGACTAACAGAAGTTATTCGCCAATACAAATAACCCCTTCAACGAGCTGACCTCAGTAAAAACCGGCGTCTCTTCGAAGCTGGGGTCGACAGCTCGAAGTGTTTGGAAGTCAAGTCCATCCTCTGTCAGAGTCCCAGTTTTATCGAAACAGCACTGGAATTGGCCATCAT